TTGGTCTTACATATGTGGTGTACAAGATTCTGAATGATTCCTTACATAGGTTCCTGAACGCTATTCTGATGTTAACCAGCCTCGCATATGCCGCAGACGTTATTCTTTTTATATGGGCTTCAGGAGACAGGTTTGGTGTGATATCATCTAGATCTTTCTCTCTGTCCGTTTCATTAAGTACTTCATCTCCTATTCTGTATCCTGTCTGGCCTCCTGTTTCCACTGCCTAGTTTCATTACTTTGCATTTACTCGGGTTGAACTTCAACAGCCATTTGTTGGACCATTCATTCAGTCTGTCTAAGTCATCTTGTAGCCTCCTACTATCATCCTCTGTTTCAGTCCTCCTCATAATTTTTTCATCATCAGCAAACACTGAGAGAAACGAGTCAATACTCTCTGGGAGATCATTTATATATATCAGAAACAGTATAGGTCCAAGGACTGACCCCTGCGGGACTCCACTTGTAACGTCTTGCCAATCTGAGACCTCACCCTTCACACTGACTCGTTGTCTCCTGTTGCTTAGGTACTCCTTTATCCAATGGAGTAGCTTCCCTTTCACTCTAGCCTGCATCTCTAGCTTTTTCACTAGCCTCTTATGTGGTACTGTATCAAGGGCTTTCTGACAATCCAAAAATATGCAGTCTGCCCACCCCTCTCTTTCTTGCCTGGTTGTAGAATTCAAGTAACCCTGTGAGGCAGGACCTGCCATCCCTGAACCCATGTTGATGCTGTGTTACAAAGTTCCTTCGCTCCAGATGTTCCACTAGCTTTCTTCGCACAATCTTCTCCATCAGTTTGCATGGTTTGCATGTGTGTGTGTGTGTGTGTGTGTGTGTGTGTGTGTGTGTGTGTGTGTGTGTGTGTGTGTGTGTGTGTGTGTGTGTGTGTGTGTGTGTGCGTGTGCGCGCGCAGAAGTGAGAGTTGGCCGAGGCCTCCCTTGTGGCAGCGTCTGGAAGATGTCGCCGGCACCGGTTACATGGGACGTGTAATTAAAAGCAAGTTGATTACAGGGCGGTGGGTGGTGGCCCACCTCCCTGCTGTGTGTGGTGGGTGGGCGGCCCACCTCCCTGCAGCATGTGGTGGGTGGCGGCCCACCTCCCTGCAGCGTGTGGTGGGTGGCGGCCCACCTGTCTGCTGCGTGTGGTGGGTGGCGGCCCACTGTGTGGCAGGTACACTAGGGGAGGGCGGGGACAGGTGGGCGTGGCACTGGGTGATTGTCATGACCAGGGCGACTCCACTCCTCCCGCCCGTAATGGTCAACGAGCCTTACCAACTTGGGTTATTCTCATCATCAACGTCCCCCCAAGAAATGAGACGCATTACTAAATTAAAGTGGCGAGGCGCAGCGGGCGGTGGGTGTGGCGGCGAAGGCGGTGGGGGCGGCGAGGGCGGTGGAGGAGGTGGGGGCGGTAAACAGTAGGATGGATGCGGAATATTCATTTATCCACAAGTTTTCAACACCGCAGGTGTTACTGCCTTCCTCCTGCAGGAGTACAGGCGCCCCCTCCTGCAGGAGTACTGGCGCCCCCTCCTGCAGGAGTACAGGCGCCCCCTCCTGCAGGAGTACTGGCGCCCCCTCCTGCAGGAGTACAGGCGCCCCCTCCTGCAGGAGTACAGGCGCCCCCTCCTGCAGGAGTACTGGCGCCCCCTCCTGCAGGAGTACTGGCGCCCCCTCCTGCAGGAGTACAGGCGCCCCCTCCTGCAGGAGTACTGGCGCCCCCTCCTGCAGGAGTACAGGCGCCCCCTCCTGCAGGAGTACAGGCGCCCCCTCCTGCAGGAGTACTGGGGCCCCTCCTGCAGGAGTACAGGCGCCCCCTCCTGCAGGAGTACTGGCGCCCCCTCCTGCAGGAGTACAGGCGCCCCCTCCTGCAGGAGTACAGGCGCCCCCTCCTGCAGGAGTACTGGCGCCCCCTCCTGCAGGAGTACTGGCGCCCCCTCCTGCAGGAGTATAGGCGCCCCCTCCTGCAGGAGTACTGGCGCCCCCTCCTGCAGGAGTACTGGCGCCCCCTCCTGCAGGAGTACTGGCGCCCCCTCCTGCAGGAGTACAGGCGCCCCCTCCTGCAGGAGTACTGGCGCCCCCTCCTGCAGGAGTACTGGCGCCCCCTCCTGCAGGAGTACAGGCGCCCCCTCCTGCAGGAGTACTGGCGCCCCCTTCTGCAGGAGTACTGGCGCCCCCTCCTGCAGGAGTACTGGCGCCCCCTCCTGCAGGAGTACTGGCGCCCCCTCCTGCAGGAGTACTGGCGCCCCCTCCTGCAGGAGTACTGGCGCCCCCTCCTGCAGGAGTACTGGCGCCCCCTCCTGCAGGAGTACTGGCGCCCCATCCTGCAGGAGTACTGGCGCCCCCTCCTGCAGGAGTACAGGCGCCCCCTCCTGCAGGTGGCCGTGCTGGTGAAGGTCGAGTCAGGAGTCTCATGCCACAAAACGCTCACATTCGATGCCAGTATGACGTGCACACCGTTACTGGAGCAGTTACGTCGTTAACGAGCGAGTATTATGATCCGCTAGCCATTTTACATCCAGGGTTGGGGGGGGGGGTTATAGTCATTGAATGTGAAGGAGGAGGGGGGGTAGGGGGTGTGCCCAGCAGCTCCACCATGCCCAGGAATTGAACCCAGGCTCTGTGGCTCGTATGTGCCCGGGTGCAAGGCCTTCCGTTGCTACCCCAAGTGCCTCCACGCTGGTTACTTCCTGAGGGCCTCTACGCTATTTGTTTCCTAAATGCTTCGTACGCCGCTTGCTGTCTAAGTGGCTCTCCACACCGACCGTCTTGAGTGCGTGTTGTACGTCTCCGGAAACAAAAATCTGTGTGTGGAAGACAGACACCGAGAGATGAAGGTGAGCACTCGCGTTGCTAGTCGGTTGGCGAGGCATGGTGGGGGCGCTGAGTGGGTGGGGGCGCTGAGTGGGTGGGGGTGTTGGGATTGGGTAGGGAGGGAGTAATAGTTTGGGGGTTTGCTGGACGGGATGAAGGGGGTGGGGTTGATGGGGGGTGGGGGGTGAGGCGGGGAAGGGTTGATCAGGGTGGTGAGGAGTGGGGTTGATGAGGGGTAGGTGGGGTTTGCGAAATGCTAGACATACTAGCAGCACAGCTATGTCTATATGTCTATATGTATATATATATGTATATATATATATATATATATATATATATATATATATATATATATATATATATATATATATATATATATATATATATGTCGTACCTAATAGCCAGAACGCACTTCTCAGCCTACTATTCAAGGCCCGATTTGCCTAATAAGCCAAGTTTTCATGAATTAATGTTTTTTCGTCTACCTAACCTACCTAACCTAACCTAACCTAGCTTTTTTTGGCTACCTAACCTAACCTTACGTATAAGTATAGGTTAGGTTAGGTTAGGTAGGGTTGGTTAGGTTCGGTCATATATCTACGTTAATTTTAACTCCAATAAAAAAAAATTGACCTCATACATAGAGAAAAGGGTTGCTTTATCATTTCATAAGAAAAAAATTATAGTAAATATATTAATTCAGGAAAACTTGGCTTATTAGGCAAATCGGGCCATGAATAGTAGGCTGAGAAGTGAGTTCTGGCTACTAGGTACGACATATATATATATATATATATATGTATGCACTCAATCTTGGTGTGGAATACACGCGCATACAGAAGAGTATATTTGGCTATACACACGCACGACACACATGCTGTATGAAGCGTCCCACAGCTACCGTAGTAAATGCTGGCCTTGTTTACATATAAATAATACACTAGTTACCAGATGCACGGGTTTCTAAGTTTGAGTTTCTGAGAGAAAGAGAGAGAGAGAGAGAGAGAGAGAGAGAGAGAGAGAGAGAGAGAGAGAGAGAGAGAGAGAGAGAGAGAGAGAGAGAGAGAGAGAGAGAGAGAGAGAGACAGAGAGAGAGAGACAGAAGGATGTTCCGCCCCACAAACCTCCACTCAGGGGGATACTCTACGGTCACTATTTACGAATGGTATATTAAAGGGGATTACAATTTGGAAAGGCATACACAATACACATTACTGAAGTCTGCAAAGAGAAAAAACAATATACAACTGGCGCAGATGATGCAGGGAGTACACAGTAGTAGCTTGGCTTCAGCTGGTGGAACCAGTGCAGATTACAGGTAGTACAAATGTAAGAGAAAGTACATAGTGAGAACACGGTGGACGTGCGTACCTATAGCAGCAGTTATCAAGTGGAAATAACTGAAGGCTACAGCTGTTGTACGTGGTGGGGATTGAACATGTGACAGCAGCAGAGGGGGGTCGTCAGCCCAGGCGGGCAACCCCCTGGGTTCAAGCTATTACAGTCGGAGGGGGGAAGGGGGAGGTGGGGGGGGGGGGGTTGTACTATCATATTGCCACTAACTTACAAGAGAATATTACAACATTACGTTTTCTATCTGTACAACCTTTTTCTTCAGTTTTGTAAGTCTAAGAGGGTGTGTGCGGTGGCACGTTTATAGTGATCAGAAGAAATACAATGCAGTATGGCCGAAACTTTGGAGCATACATATAATATACACATGGTGGGATGTCTCTATACAGGGAAGCTATCTAAGCCTGCCAGTCTCAGCCTCGCAGGAGGAGAACCTCAAGTCTGGCGAGTTGCAATGTTACATTTCTCAAGATCTCTCTAATCCAAACTTACAAGCTAAAGATTCTTCTAATATATGTTAAGTGTTCCTACTTTGTGGTGCAATGAGAGTATCTTTCAAGTGTTCTTCTAAATCATAATTTTCTAAATTATCTAAAAGGATTTTTTCAGTGTTTGCATCCTACATTACAGGGTCAGAGGGATTTATAAGGGATATGTCCAATATTCTCATCCTACGTTACAAGGTCAAGGGTCTCTTTTGGAGGGAGCTTTTCAGCCCTCCAAAACTTCTACATTACAAGGGGAGAGGGGGGGGGGAGAGTAGGGGGGGAGGGATGTCGACTGGCAGATCTCCAGCCTCACTACAAGATGGTGCCACGCTGAAGAGTTTACCTGTGGGCCATCACGCTGAGCACGGTACTAGAGAAAGTGTACCGCTTCGCTGGCGAGGTAGGGGGCAGACTGCTCGAGCCGTGAGTAAGTGTAGCGGGGAAGAGAGAGACCAAGTGAGACCCGAGAGCTAGAGCTTCACCCGGGCCGGCCTCAGGCAATAAGAGACTGGCACCGGGTAGCAGCTCGGTGCGTCCCGTCTCCCTTGGCACCTCCCTGGTGGCACCCCAGTGTTGGGGGTGCCAGCAGGGTGGTGCCAGAGGGAACACAACCTCTTGCTCCACTCTAGCGGTGGAGCCCAGCGTGGCAGTGGCACTATCGCCAGAGTGGTGCCCGCTAGGACAATTAGCTACTTGAAAATGGACTCAAGATTTGCTTTGGCATACTACTTCTTCACTAGCCAAGGAGTTAGAAATGTTTACTAATGCATGAGTCTATACATTAAGATCATCACTGCTATAACCCAGACTTAAGTAAAGTACAGTATAAATATTTGTATATTAAAACTTCTATATTAGTAATGGGTGGACACAGATGAGTGGCTCACTGTCCTGTAGCTGTGACCCACTCACCTGTAGTGGTGGGCAGTGCATTAGGGCTGCAGGTGAGCGAGGGAAGACACACTAGTCCCGGCACCTCGAGGGCCAGGTGCCTGTACCTCGAGGGCCAGGTGCCTGCACCTCGAGGGCCAGGTGCCTGCACCTGGAGGGCCAGGTGCCTGCACCTCGAGGGCCAGGTGCCTGCACCTCGAGGGCCAGGTGCCTGCACCTCGAGGGCCAGGTGCCTGCACCTCGAGGGCCAGGTGCCTGCACCTCGAGGGCCAGGTGCCTGCACCTCACCACCTGCTCACCAGCAAGAATATCACTTGGATTAATATTTAGCAAAAGACTCAAGGCAAAATGCATATATATATTCATTCACTGAAATGTCAAGTATTGAAACCATGGATATTACATCATGAGAAAGTTAAAATGCCTCAAGACAAAACAGGGATGCAAATGTTATACTTACGGCAGTCTAAAAATAATAATAATAATAATAATAATAATAATAATAATAATAATAATATTGTAATAATTTTTCAATGCAAAAACGAGAACATTACTCGTTTCGAAATAATAACAATTATAGCACCAGGAAGCATGCTCCTTAACTACATATTAAAGCGTGTGGCCAGGTGTATTGCTGCAGGAAAACACACACACATTAGAGATGAGAGAAGCATGTGGGTGAGGCCGGCCATCACACTAGCACCTTAAGACTACCTCTAAAATGCCTCGGTAATTACTCCACACGACATAGCCAGAACGTCAAGGTCACCATCACTATATTCATGGAGTTATAGTCATGTATATTATGTTCTGTGGCTGACGACACAATGAAAAGTCACATATGTGAACTATGATGACTAGTACTACATATACTGACCGCATGTATTATCTACTGTCTGACAGGAGCATAACGACCAAATTATCAAATAAATGAACAAACTTCAGTATTGGGCAAAGTGAGTAGTGACACTGAGGACGTCAGTGGGTAGTGACACTGAGGACGTCAGTGGGTAGTGACACTGAGGACGTCAGTGGGTAGTGACACTGAGGACGTCAGTGGGTAGTGACACTGAGGACGTCAGTGGGTAGTGACACTGAGGACGTCAGTGGGTAGTGACACTGAGGACGTCAGTGGGTAGTGACACTGAGGACGTCAGTGGGTAGTCACATGCTAATGTGTCCTTATTCCATTGGTAAGTATCCATAGATACATCATCATTTTAACCAACTTACAATTCTGATACCACATGTGTTCTAGCCATGTCATGCAAGAGCCAGACAAAATATACACACGTCCAATATATATATATATATATATATATATATATATATATATATATATATATATATATATATATATATATATATATATACATACATATATATATATATATATTTAACACACACACACACACACGGAAAATATGAGTTCTGCCGGAACTCAATGTTGCAAGTGCGACATTCTGGTGGTGGAAGCACGCAGCGTGAGTATAAGCCAGCGGACACAGCGACACTCAACACGCAAACACTCAACGGCCACAGAATACTGGAAGAGGAACTTAAGCGGGGGAAGACCAAATTGGTGAGTGGTATAGTGAGCCACACAGTGTGAGAGTGGTCTAGGGAGCCACACAGTGTGGGAGTGGTCTAGGGAGCCACACAGTGTGGGAGTGGTCTAGGGAGCCACACAGTGTGGGAGTGGTCTAGGGAGCCACACAGTGTGGGAGTGGTCAGTGTAGGGAGCCACACAGTGTGGGAGTGGTCTAGGGAGCCACACAGTGTGGGAGTGGTCTAGGGAGCCACACAGTGTGGGAGTGGTCTAGGGAGCCACACAGTGTGGGAGTGGTCTAGGGAGCCACACAGTGTGGGAGTGGTCTAGGGAGCCACACAGTGTGGGAGTGTCTGGGCCATAGTGTGGGAGTGGTCTAGGGAGCCACACAGTGTGGGAGTGGTCTAGGGAGCCACACAGTGTGGGAGTAGTCTAGGGAGCCACACAGTGTGGGAGTGGTCTAGGGAGCCACACAGTGTGGGAGTGGTCTAGGGAGCCACACAGTGTGGGAGTGGTCTAGGGAGCCACACAGTGTGGGAGTGGTCTAGGGAGCCACACAGTGTGAGAGTGGTCTAGGGAGCCACACAGTGTGGGAGTGGTCTAGGGAGCCACACAGTGTGGGAGTGGTCTAGGGAGCCACACAGTGTGGGAGTGGTCTAGGGAGCCATAGTGTGGGAGTGGTCCACACAGTGTGAGAGTGGTCTAGGGAGCCACACAGTGTGGGAGTGGTCTAGGGAGCCACACAGTGTGGGAGTGGTCCACACAGTGTGAGAGTGGTCAAGGGAGCCACACAGTGTGGGAGTGGTCTAGGGAGCCACACAGTGTGGGAGTGGTCTAGGGAGCCACACAGTGTGAGAGTGGTCTAGGGAGCCACACAGTGTGAGAGTGGTCTAAGGAGCCACACAGTGTGAGAGTGGTCTAGGGAGGCACACAGTGTGGGAGTGGTCTAAGGAGCCACACAGTGTGAGAGTGGTCTAGGGAGCCACACAGTGTGGGAGTGGTCTAGGGAGCCACACAGTGTGAGAGTGGTCTAGGGAGCCACACAGTGTGGGAGTGGTCTAGGGAGCCACACAGTGTGAGAGTGGTCTAGGGAGCCACACAGTGTGAGAGTGGTCTAGAGAGCCACACAGTGTGAGAGTGGTCTAGGGAGCCACACAGTGTGAGAGTGGTCTAGGGAGCCACACAGTGTGAGAGTGGTCTAGGGAGCCACACAGTGTGAGAGTGGTCTAGGGAGCCACACAGTGTGAGAGTGGTCTAGAGAGCCACACAGTGTGAGAGTGGTCTAGGGAGCCACACAGTGTGAGAGTGGTCTAGGGAGCCACACAGAGTGAGAGTGGTCTAGGGAGCCACACAGTGTGGGAGTGGTCTAAGGAGCCACACAGTGTGAGAGTGGTCTAGGGAGCCACACAGTGTGGGAGTGGTCTAGGGAGCCACACAGTGTGAGAGTGGTCTAGGGAGCCACACAGTGTGGGAGTGGTCTAGGGAGCCACACAGTGTGAGAGTGGTCTAGGGAGCCACACAGTGTGGAGTGGTCTAGGGAGCCAGTGTGGGAGTGGTCTAGGGAGCCACACAGTGTGAGAGTGGTCTAGGGAGCCACACAGTGTGAGAGTGGTCTAGGGAGCCACACAGTGTGAGAGTGGTCTAGGGAGCCACACAGTGTGAGAGTGGTCTAGGGAGCCACACAGTGTGAGAGTGGTCTAGGGAGCCACACAGTGTGAGAGTGGTCTAGGGAGCCACACAGTGTGAGAGTGGTCTAGGGAGCCACACAGTGTGAGAGTGGTCTAGGGAGCCACACAGTGTGAGAGTGGTCTAAGGGAGCCACACAGTGTGAGAGTGGTCTAGGGAGCCACACAGTGTGAGAGTGGTCTAGGGAGCCACACAGTGTGAGAGTGGTCTAGGGAGCCACACAGTGTGAGAGTGGTCTAGGGAGCCACACAGTGTGAGAGTGGTCTAGGGAGCCACACAGTGTGAGAGTGGTCTAGGGAGCCACACAGTGTGAGAGTGGTCTAGGGAGCCACACAGTGTGAGAGTGGTCTAGGGAGCCATACAGTGTGGGAGTGGTCTAGGGAGCCACACAGTGTGAGAGTGGTCTAGGGAGCCACACAGTGTGAGAGTGGTCTAGGGAGCCACACAGTGTGAGAGTGGTCTAGGGAGCCATACAGTGTGGGAGTGGTCTAGGGAGCCACACAGTGTGAGAGTGGTCTAAGGAGCCACACAGTGTGAGAGTGGTCTAGGGAGCCACACAGTGTGAGAGTGGTCTAGGGAGCCCAGTGTGGGAGTGGTCTAGGGAGCCACACAGTGTGAGAGTGGTCTAAGGAGCCACACAGTGTGAGAGTGGTCTAGGGAGCCAGTGTGAGAGTGGTCTAGGGAGCCACACAGTGTGAGAGTGGTCTAGGGAGCCAGTGTGAGAGTGGTCTAGGGAGCCACACAGTGTGAGAGGACCGGTGTTGGAGGCCACCAGTATGTGGGTTGTTCTATATAGAGTCCGGAAGAGCAAACCAGAAGAGCTGGCGTGATGAATGGTTTTACGTGCTGCTTCCTGTCCGGGTTATCCCCTCTAGTGGCACCTCAGGCTGTGCCACACCTCGGCTCTCTGGCACACTGATGCCTCCCCGGGGGGGGGAGCCACTGTCTCACACTAGCAGTGGCACCCTGGAACTGGTGTATTTCTGGACCCGGAACTGTGCCACGGATGTATTGAAAGTTGTTAGCAATTAGAGGCACAAGGTGTGGCAGTACTGTATTAGTGGTACAAGGTGTGGCAGTACTGTATTAGTGGCACAAGGTGTGGCAGTACTGTATTAGAGGCACAAGGTGTGGCAGTACTGTATTAGAGGCACAAGGTGTGGCAGTACTGTATTAGTGGTACAAGGTGTGGCAGTACTGTATTAGTGGTACAAGGTGTGGCAGTACTGTATTAGTGGTACAGGGTGTGGCAGTACTGTATTAGTGGTACAAGGTGTGGCAGTACTGTATTAGTGGTACAAGGTGTGGCAGTACTGTATTAGTGATACAAGGTGTGGCAGTACTGTATTAGAGGCACAAGGTGTGGCAGTACTGTATTAGTGGTACAAGGTGTGGCAGTACTGTATTAGTGGCACAAGGTGTGGCAGTACTGTATTAGTGGTACAAGGTGTGGCAGTACTGTATTAGTGGTACAAGGTGTGGCAGTACTGTATTAGTGGTACAAGGTGTGGCAGTACTGTATTAGTGGTACAAGGTGTGGCAGTACTGTATTAGAGGCACAAGGTGTGGCAGTACTGTATTAGAGGCACAAGGTGTGGCAGTACTGTATTAGAGGCACAAGGTGTGGCAGTACTGTATTAGAGGCACAAGGTGTGGCAGTACTGTATTAGAGGCACAAGGTGTGGCAGTACTGTATTAGAGGCACAAGGTGTGGCAGTACTGTATTAGAGGCACAAGGTGTGGCAGTACTGTATTAGAGGCACAAGGTGTGGCAGTACTGTATTAGAGGCACAAGGTGTGGCAGTACTGTATTAGAGGCACAAGGTGTGGCAGTACTGTATTAGTGGTACAAGGTGTGGCAGTACTGTATTAGAGGCACAAGGTGTGGAAGTACTGTCTTAGAGTCAGAAGGTGTGGCAGTACTGTATTAGTGGCAGTACAAGGTGTGGCAGTACTGTATTAGTGGAGGCACAAGGTGTGGCAGTACTGTATTAGAGGCACAAGGTGTGGCAGTACATTAGGTACAAGGTGTGGCAGTACTGTATTAGTGGCACAAGGTGTGGCAGTACTGTATTAGAGGCACAAGGTGTGGCAGTACTGTATTAGAGGCACAAGGTGTGGCAGTACTGTATTAGTGGTACAAGGTGTGGCAGTACTGTATTAGTGGTACAAGGTGTGGCAGTACTGTATTAGTGGTACAAGGTGTGGCAGTACTGTATTAGAGGCACAAGGTGTGGCAGTACTGTATTAGAGGCACAAGGTGTGGCAGTACTGTATTAGAGGCACAAGGTGTGGCAGTACTGTGTTAGAGGCACAAGGTGTGGTAGTACTGTATTTGAGGCACAAGGTGTGGCAGTACTCTCCTAGAGGAGGAAGAGGAAGGACTGAGAAAGGACAGATCTAAAACAAGACAATAAGTCCACCACGTCGGAGCCTGGCTTCCCCGACACGCGTGACGGGGGCGAGGCTTCAACAGACCAAGCTTGCTTGGGTCGACGCCGCCGTCACAACCTTCAAGCTGTGTCTCGTGAGCTTCTACAAAAGCTAAATGTTTACAGAGCTAGCAAGAGCAGCAGCAGCAGCAGCAGCAGCAGCAGAGAGTACCGGCACTCTACGGGATGAACACTAATGGCAGCTCCCCCATGAGTTAGACTGGAGACTCCAGCATCTATCTACCAGGCTCCGACGAGGCTGAGGATGCATCTCCAAGGTGCAGCAGGTGAGCAGAGGCCAGGAGAGGTGTGAGAGGCAGGGGAGGAAGTGGAGGATGACTGCCGAAGTGTGTGTGTGTGTGTGTGTGTGTGTGTGTGTGTGTGTGTGTGTGTGTGTGTGTGTGTGTGTGTGTGTGTGTGGAGGGCGAGGAGAGGCAGTGTGGAGGGCGGGGAGAGGCAGTGTGGACGGCGAGGAGAGGCAGTGTGGAGGGCGGGGAGAGGCAGTGTGGAGGACGAGGAGAGGCAGTGTGGAGGGCGAGGAGAGGCAGTGTGGAGGGCGGGGAGAGGCAGTGTGGAGGGCGAGGAGAGGCAGTGTGGAGGGCGGGGAGAGGCAGTGTGGAGGGCGGGGAGAGGCAGTGTGGAGGGCGGGGAGAGGCAGTGTGGAGGGCGGGGAGAGGCAGTGTGGAGGGCGAGGAGAGGCAGTGTGGAGGGCGGGGAGAGGCAGTGTGGAGGGCGGGGAGAGGCAGTGTGGAGGGCGGGGAGAGGCAGTGTGGAGGGCGGGGAGAGGCAGTGTGGAGGGCGGGGAGAGGCAGTGTGGAGGGCGAGGAGAGGCAGTGTGGAGGGCGAGGGAGGCAGTGTGCAGGGCGAGGAGAGGCAGTGTGGAGGACGAGGAGAGGCAGTGTGGAGGGCGGGGAGAGGCAGTGTGGAGGGCGGGGAGAGGCAGTGTGGAGGACGAGGAGAGGCAGTGTGGAGGACGAGGAGAGGCAGTGTGGAGGACGAGGAGAGGCAGTGTGGAGGACGAGGAGAGGCAGTGTGGAGGGCGAGGAGAGGCAGTGTGGAGGGCGAGGAGAGGCAGTGAGAGGGACAGACACACTCAAGGAATGCATTACCTGAAGGTGACCTGTGCTGGCATCCTGGGATAAAGAGTCACACACTTTAGAATGACAGGAGAGCACACCTTAGGGGCTGTACCTTAATCTTTCTTTGATTTTTTGTTTTTTTTTTAAGATTAATGTACAACAGAGAAGGATGTGAAGTTACAGTTATATATTACATAGAAGGCGGCACGTTCGCTGTACCGTAGGAGTGCACTAAATATTATACATACAAATGACAAAAATACACATAAATGGGACATCACATTGGGATAACGTCAAAGAGATAACAGGAACTGACAGGCAAAACTGATGAAAAGATTCTGGAATATGCTGAAGAAATAGAGGAGAGTTTCTGTGACACACACACACACACACACACACACACACACACACACACACACACACACACACACACACACACACACACACACACACACACACACACACCACACACACACACAATACACACACACACACACACACACACACACACACACACACACACACACACACACACACACACACACACACCACACACACACACACACACACACACACACACACACACACACACACACCTATTGTCACCGTGTAAATATTTGATTAACTAATGACTCTCCTTTTCCTTTCCCAGTATGAGTCTCCAGGACCCGGGAGGACCTAGAGACTCATACTGTGCCCACACCTGCAGACCGTAATCTTGGTCCTAACCACTAAGGATGAAAATGTTTCGCCAAGACCCCTATAAGATAACACAAGGTTCATCTAGGCATCACCTGTAACTGACAACATGTGTCTAAATGATACAAGTGTCTTCTGTTGGATCGTTTTACCAAAGGGGGAATCTTATGTGTGACTCATATTTGTTTAATATTCTGTCTTGATAAGATGAGGAATATTATCTCTTCAACATGCTTGTGTGTTAATAGCTTAATTGGCCGCCTGTACCTTGACTGAGCTGCCCAACCGCACTTGTGGACATCTCAACAACCCCCCCCCCCACTCTCTCTGTATGTTTACTACTTGTGTCTGCAAGATCGAATTATTAGCTCTTGAGCCCTGCCTTTCTAACCGTCGGTCGTCTAATGCACTTCCCGCCAATTTTTCTCAATCATATGTACTATAATTTGTTCTGCCGCACCCACTCATTTCCAGGATATGGTCTGTAGCAGCTGTCTAATTCTCTGTTACCTGCTTACTGCAAGATGAACAGAGGCGGCAGGTGAAAGAAACTTGACGCATTTATTTACGTCTCGACCGGGAATCGAACCCGGATCCGTCGACTGCGTATCCCGAACTTTGTCCTCTCGACCGCCAGAACCCTCTGTGGTTGTGTGCACTCACCTAGTTGTGCTTACAGGGAATGAGCTTCGGCTCTTTGATCTCGCCTCTCAACTGTCAATTAACTGGTGTACAGATTCCCGAGCCAATTGGGCTTTATAATATCTACACTTGAAACTGTGTATGGAGTCAGCCTGCACCACATCACTGCCTAATGCACTCCGTTTGATAACTACTCTAACAGTAAAAAAGTTCTTTCAAATATCTGTATGGCGCATCTGGGTGTTCAGTTTCCACCTGTGTCCCCTCTGGTTAGGTGCCCCCCCCCCGAGTGTTAAATAATTTGTCTTTATCTACCCTATCAATTTCTCTGAGAATCTTGTATGTGGTGATCATGTCTCCCCTAACTCTTCTTTCTTCCAGCGACGTGAGGAAACTGTGTGTGTGTGTGTGTGTGTGTGTGTGTGTGTGTGTGTGTGTGTGTGTGTGTGTGTGTGTGTGTGTGTGTGTGTGTGTGTGTGTGTGTCACACACACCACTCAAACACTTGCACAGTCACCACCAGCATTCTAAGAACATTTTGTACACGCATTCCGACACACACACTTACACTCACGGATGCACTTAAAGCACATACCCGGAGATAAACAGTATAATCTGGATGATACACACTCGGGGAGGCAAACCACTTGATTAACACACTCAGAAAGGAACACACACTTCAACAACACACTCAAGAGAGGAACACACACTTCAACAACACACTCAAGAGAGGAACACACACACTTCAACAACACACTCAAGAGAGGAACACACACTTCAACAACACACTCAAGAGAGGAACTCACACTTCAACAACACACTCAAGAGAGGAACACACACTTCAACAACACACTCAAGAGAGGAACCCACACTTCAACAACACACTCAAGAGAGGAACACACTTCAACAACACACTCAAGAGAGGAACACACACACTTCAACAACACACTCAAGAGAGGAACACACACTTCAACACCACACTCAAGAGAGGAACACACACTTCAACAACACACTCAAGAGAGGAACACACACTTCAACAACACACTCAAGAGAGGAACACACACTTCAACAACACACTCAAGAGAGGAACACACACACTTCACACTCACACACACTCAACAACACAAGAGAGGAACTCAACTTCAACAACACACTCAAGAGAGGAACACACACACTTCACAAAACACTCAAGAGAGGAACACACACACTTCAACAACACACTCAGAGAGGAAACACACTTCAACAACACACTCAAGAGAGGAACACACACTTCAACAACACACTCAAGAGAGGAACACACACTTCAACAACACACTCACACACTTCAACAACACACTCAAGAGAGGAACACACACTTCACAACACACTCAAGAGAGGAACACACTCAACAACACACTCAAGAGAGGAACACACACACTTCAACAACACACTCAAGAGAGGAACTCACACTTCAACAACACACTCAAGAGAGGAACTCACACACAACACACTCAAGAGGAACTCACACTTCAACAACACACTCAAGAGAGGAACCCACACTTCAACAAAACACTCAAGAGAGGACACACACACTTCAACAACACACTCAAGAGAGGAACACACACTTCAACAACACACTCAAGAGAGGAACACACACTTCAACAACACACTCAAGAGAGGAACCCACACTTCAACAACACACTCAAGAGAGGACACACACTTCAACACACACTCAAGAGAGGAACACACACTTCAACAACACACTCAAGAGAGGAACACACACACTTCAACAACACACTCAAGAGAGGAACACACACACTTCAACAACACACTCAGAGAGGAACTCACACTTCAACAACACACTCAAGAGAGGAACTCACACTTCAACAACACACTCAAGAGAGGAACACACACTTCAACAACACACTCAAGAGAGGAACACACACTTCAACAACACACTCAAGAGAGGAACACCCACACTTCAACAACACACTCAAGAGAGGAACACACTTCAACAACACACTCAAGAGAGGAACACACACACTTCAACAACACACTCAAGAGAGGAACACACACTTCAACAACACACTCAAGAGAGGAACTCACACTTCAACAACACACTCAAGAGAGGAACACACACTTCGCCTGATCGCCAAAAACACCTCCAACAAAATTTGTACACAATTTATGAGGATTCATAAATAAATAAAACCAGTGAATCAGCCTTTAATGTTTACATATTTCTTACAGACAAAGTAAACAGGAAACAACAGAGTGTACTACGGGCACCAGTGTGCCGCCCGGCCTCCTAGAATGATCCACCTCACAGCAACAGTTTGATTGAACGTAGAGGAAATAGACAGTTGCAACCAACAATGTTCACGTTTTCTACGAACTTCGTTTTGTAGGGGGAACGATAAATGCCAAAATTTGAAAATTAGTCCATTCCTAGGCCTAATATATATATATCATATATGTACAATATTAGCCCTACGGTAGCACATATTAGGCCTAGGACAGCTTGAACAGGTCCGGTTGGGCACTCAACTTCTTACTTCTTCATATTGTTAGGACGCCATTTGGGCTAATTCAGTGATATATGTATGCTGTAACTTGAACGTTTGTTGGTCCAACAGTTCATTTTTGTACGTACGATGAAATAGTTGCTCGAATCATTTTCGGCAGGTGAGCTGGTGTACACGCTGACAGTGCCAGCCAGTGCCACGGGGCACCTGTCTTGTAAGATTACCTTCTTGGTAGGAGGACGCGCAAGCTAGGCCAGGATGGTCAGAAAGTAAAATGGTCTTCAGAAAGGGTGGTCTGAGGGCAGGATGGTCTGAGGGCAGGGTGGACTGAGGGCAGGGTGGTCTGAGGGCAGGGTGGTCTGAGGGCAGGGTTGTCTGAGGACAGGATGGTCTGAGGGCAGGGTGGTCTGAGGGCAGGATGGTCAGAGGGCAGGATGGTCTGAGGGCAGGGTGGTCTGAGGGCAGGATGGTCAGAGGGTAGGGTGGTCTGAGGGCAGGATGGTCAGAGGGCAGGGTGGTCTGAGGGCAGGGTGGTCTGAGGGCAGGATGGTCTGAGGACAGGGTGGTCTGAGGGCAGGATGGTCAGAGGGCAGGGTGGTCTGAGGGCAGGGTGGTCTGAGGGCAGGATGGTCTGAGGGCAGGATGGTCTGAGGGCAAGATGGTCCCATAAGCTTCTCCGGCGCTCTACAAAACCCTTGAGCGTCGGCAAGCGCTCACCTCTTCAGACCCAGGAGTCATGAACTATGTACTGAACACTCACCAAACCTCTCCACCTTTCCTCGATCACGGCGGCTTTGCTTTTGTTAATTAAACAGTTTATAAACTGAGAAGCACTAGGAGGTTGCTAATAATAATTGTAAATTATATAGTTTCCAACCTCGTAAATTGTTCATTAAATGTGTAAACAAACCCGCCATGATTAAGGAAAGAGGTACACAGCTTTCCTAAGATGTTCCGTAACCAAGAATTCTGGACCCAAAGTCACTGGCTGAACCTTACGTAAATGTACATTGTATAAATACAATTACATCATACTGATACGAAACGAGTAACAATACACCCGACTCTCATGTACATGTGTACAAGTGTTGCTACAGCAACGTTGTCAGTTGTATTTGCTGGGAGTAGACACATGAACAGAACAACACAAAGTATATATATATATATATATATATATATATATATATATATATATATATATATATATATATATATATATATATATATATACCGTCAACTTACTCTCTTCTGCTAGCATTAAATTTTAAAACTAGAGAGAACTTGTTAGCAAGACAAAAATGCACTTAACACAAATTATTAATATTATTTTTTTTATGCATAAACAGTGATATTATTTCCTCAAAAGCTTAAGGATTTGTGAGGTTGAAGATGTCTCTGCAGCCAGGAGAATGGACAACAGTGTTAAGTGTGACCTGACACTGCCAGGTCACGCTGATTAGTACACAACCCTATTAGTAAGGTCGCGCGAGGTCACACAAACCTATTAGTAAGGTCGCACGAGGTCACACAAACCTATTAGTAAGGTCGGACGAGGTCACACAAACCTATTAGTAAGGTCACACGAGGTCACAGATAAATGTCATTCAGGTGCGTTAAGCTAAAGGCGCTTAGATAGAGAGGTCAGACAGATCACGAAAAAGCATAGAAGTCACAGTCCCAGGAGAGAGAGAGAGAGAGAGAGAGAGAGAGAGAGAGAGAGAGAGAGAGAGAGAGAGAGAGAGAGAGAGAGAGAGAGAGAGAGAGAGAGACAGACAGACAGAGAGAGGAAAGAGAGAGAGAGAGAGAGAGAGAGAGAGAGAGAGAGAGAGAGAGAGAGAGAGAGAGAGAGAGAGAGAGAGAGAGAGAGAGAGAGAGAGAGTACACCAGGCAGCATGTGAGAGGACTAAGGTGTCAAGGGGTCACAGCAAGAACAAAGGAGAGCAGAGTCAAGAAGTCACGCTACAACTCTCAATAGTCAGATGGTCCTCTCTACTTCCTGCAACACACACACACACACACGCACATGCATACGCACACACACGCTATTAGGTGAGTACACACCGACTCTGAAGGTCCCACACAAGCGTCAGGAAGTCCGACACAAGCGTCAGGAAGTCCGACACAAGCGTCAGGAAGTCCGACACAAGCGTCAGGAAGTCCGACACAAGCGTCAGGAAGTCCCACACAAGCGTCAGAAGGTCCCACACAAGCGTCAGAAGTCCACATGCAAGCGTCAGAAGTCCACATGCAAGCGTCAGAAGTCCACATGCAAGCGTCAGAAGGTCCCACACAAGCGTCAGAAGGTCCCACACAAGCGTCAGAAGGTCCCATACAAGCGTCAGAAGGTCCCACACAAGCGTCAGAAGGTCCCATACAAGCGTCAGAAGGTCCCATACAAACGTCAGAAGGTCCCATACAAGCGTCAGAAGGTCCCACACAAGCGTCAGAAGGTCCATACAAGCGTCAGAAGGTCCCATACAAGCGTCAGAAGGTCCCATACAAGCGTCAGAAGGTCCCACACAGCGTCAGAAGGTCCCACACACGCGCAGAAGGTCCCATACAAGCGTCAGAAGGTCCCATACAAGCGTCAGAAGGTCCCATACAAGCGTCAGAAGGTCCCATACAAGCGTCAGAAGGTCCCACACAAGCGTCAGAAGGTCCCACACACGCGTCAGAAGGTCCCATACAAGCGTCAGAAGGTCCCACACAAGCGTCAGAAGGTCCCACACAAGCGTCAGAAGGTCCCATACAAGCGTCAGAAGGTCCCATACAAGCGTCAGAAGGTCCCACACAAGCGTCAGAAGGTCCCATACAAGCGTCAGAAGGTCCCACACAAGCGTCAGGTCCCACACAAGCGTCAGAAGGTCCCACACAAGCGTCAGAAGGTCCCACACAAGCGTCAGAAGGTCCCACACAAGCGTCAGAAGGTCCCACACAAGCGTCAGAAGGTCCCACACAAGCGTCAGAAGGTCCCACACAAGCGTCAGAAGGTCCGGTATAGACGAGACAAGAAGTCAGTAGACGCAGTGACCAACAGTGACTGGGAGAACTTACTTGCTACTGGCGGGCTCCGAGGTCTTGAGGGACTTGAAGGCCTTCATCCACTTGGTCTTCATGCTGCCTCCGCTGGAGTTGGACATTTTCCTCTCTCGTCCCTCCGCCCCGCCCCCGTCTTTGGACGCAAACAACTCTTTCTGGTAATAAGAAAATGACAGGAGAGTTAAGGGAGAAGCTAGTTATATCTATAGGGAGGAAGCCTAACACCCGTTCATTCTCTCTCTCTCTCTCTCTCTCTCTCTCTCTCTCTCTCTCTCTCTCTCTCTCTCACACGACACTAGACCCCACGTGTTACAACCCGACACATGAGACACATGTGTCACACAGCAACACACGCGTGTGATGACACAAGTGTCTCAACAACCCGTGGCTGAAAAATGGCTACTGATGGTCTTTTAACGCAGAGAAATGTAAGGTTATGGGAGGGTAGACATAGCCTAAGCTACTCTATCCCTTTGAGATGTATTTGTTTCTTGTCTCAATAAACATACTTGAACTTGAATGTAAGATTATGGGGGATAGGAAGAGGAGCAAGACGACCTCTAACCCCTGGAACACACACAGTGGTGCTCCCTGGAACACACAGTGCTGCTCCCTGGAACACACACAACAGTGCTCCCTGGAACACACAGTGCTGCTCCCTGGAACACACACAACAGTGCTCCCTGGAACACACAGTGCTGCTCCCTGGAACACACACAACAGTGCTCCCTGGAACACACACACAACAGTGCTCCCTGGAACACACACAACAGTGCTCCCTGGAACACACACATAAGAGTGCTCCCTGGAACACACACACAACAGTGCTCCCTGGAACACACACACAACAGTGCTCCCTGGAACACACACACAACAGTGCTCCCTGGAACACACACACAACAGTGCTCCCTGGAACACACACACAACAGTGCTCCCTGGAACACACACACAACAGTGCTCCCTGGAACACACACACAACAGTGCTCCCTGGAACACACACACAACAGTGCTCCCTGGAACACACACACAAGAGTGTATAAGAGTCATAAGGGTGATATGTCCTACTGTTTGAAGTGAGATTTAATTAATTATACAAATTGGTCAATAATATGCCGGTTAAATTCGCCAGTTTCTACCGAAGCCTCACATATTATCTTTAATGATAACTAAATTAGATTATGATAAACCCACACACCCCAGGAAGCAGCCCGTGACAGCTGACTATCTCCCAGGTACCTATTTACTGCTAGGTAACAGGGGCATTCAGGGTGAAAGAAACTTTGCCCATTTGTTTCTGCCTGGTGCGGGAATCGAACCCGCGCCACAGAATTACGAGTCCTGCGCGCTATCCACCAGGCTACGAGGCCCCATAATGTGTGTGTGTGTGTGTGTGTGTGTGTGTGTGTGTGTGTGTGTGTGTGTGTGTGTGTGTGTGCGTGCGTGTGTGTTAAAAAAAGTTAATAGTTAGTAACAGTTGATTGATTGACAGTTGAGAGGCGGGCCGAAAGAACAGAGCTCAACCCCCGCAAGCACAACTAGATGAATACCCAAGATACACTCAGAATTCAGTTTCCTCTCCACACATGATAAACAAAGAATTAATGAATCGAACACTAAACACTCGTAAATCATTAAAAAAATGCTTTTAATATATACCAAACTCGCCAATGATATTATGGATAAGAAAATATATAAGTGCAGAGCTTAAATATTTATGTATATTAAAACAAAAACGCAAAGCGTTTTAGACGCTTTGTAATGAAAGCAATTTAGAGAATAAAGAATCTGATGGTTTTGTTGAGTTGGATAAAGGTTTCTCCCTCTTGTTGGGTGTTGCAGAGCTCTCCCTGCTGCTGGATGGTGCAGAGCTCTCCCTGCTACTGGATGGTGCAGAGCTCTTCCTGCTGCTGGATGGTGCAGAGCTCTCCCTGCTGCTGGATGGTGCAGAGCTCTCCCTCTTGTTGGGTGTTGCAGAGCTCTCCCTGCTGCTGGATGGTGCAGAGCTCTTCCTGCTACTGGATGGTGCAGAGCTCTTCCTGCTGCTGGATGGTGCAGAGCTCTCCCTGCTGCTGGATGGTGCAGAGCTCTCCCTGCTGCTGGATGGTGCAGAGCTCTCTCTGCTACTGGATGGTGCAGAGCTCTCTCTGCTACTGGATGGTGCAGAGCTCTCCCTCTTGTTGGGTGTTGCAGAGCTCTCCCTGCTACTGGATGGTGCAGAGCTCTCTCTGCTACTGGATGGTGCAGAGCTCTCCCTGCTGCTGGATGGTGCAGAGCTCTTCCTGCTGCTGGATGGTGCAGAGCTCTCCCTGCTACTGGATGGTGCAGAGCTCTCCCTGCTACTGGATGGTGCAGAGCTCTCCCTGCTACTGGATGGTGCAGAGCTCTCCCTGCTACTGGATGGTGCAGAGCTCTCCCTGCTACTGGATGGTGCAGAGCTCACCCTGCTACTGA